TCAAATCCTTTCAAATACATTTAAAACATAAATTTTTCAGTCTTAGAAACTTTCTATCTAAAAGTTAGCCAAATACAAAAAGCTCCCAGGCGATATTATCGAGACATCACTCCGACATCCCACCTCCGGCGCCGGTGGAGCTGTAGCTCGCCGGCGTCCGGATGATCTTTTTCTACACCGTTTTTTCAGCAACCTTCTTAGTCCTCTCTGTAATCTTTTACCTTTTTAACCCTTTTTATGCTCTTGTTAATCTTTTCAACTCTTCCCCGAACCCTCTTTACAACCCTTTCCATGTCGGGATCCAGATATGGTCCATGCTTTCATCTCCCAGTCTGTTCTACGCCTCCCGCCGACTGTGTCTTCCACACAGTCCATTTAAAGTCAACTTTTGCATCTCACGTCGCCTATCAAAGGGAGAACGATCCCCCCCCCCACCAAGTGCTCAACTTGGATGCGGCAGGCCCGGAGCTCTGCGTTGACGACGGTGACCGGAGAGTTAACAGCGATGAAAGCTACTGACCGTCCATCCTTTATGACAGATCTGATAGCAAGTGTACTTGAAAAGCTCACCTCCCGTTTGCCGCCTAATATGATCTCCCTAGGATAGAACTCCGATGAAGGCTGAAGATAGGTGATATGCGACGTGAGCTTGTTGATGATGATGGGCGATGAATGTGAGTGATGATATGTGAAGATCGAATGAGGAAAACAATGGTTTGATGGGGATAGATGTTTAGGTGGTTTTATGGATTGTAACAATGAAGAGTTTCTGAATCACAAAGTGTATAGAAACCCGGAAATCTAGAACGCATTCAAGAATTCGAATTGAGAGAAAAAGTGTGACAATACTTGTTCATACAACTTCTTCGCTAAAGAGAAAAGAGGCGTAGCTTTGGATTTTAAATACCCTAGGGCACGACACTCCAAACAACAAGAAGTTCAAAACCAAAACAACAAGACGTTTTAAGGAAATAATAAAAACAGCAAGATTTCCCGACGTCCTGTAGTAGTACAGAAGTCGGCTGAACTAGTACAGAAGCTTGACGACCTGTAGTAGTACAGAAGTACATTATTCCCCTTTGGTAATGATTTCTAGATAACTCGACGTAGTGATCCATTTGCCTCATTAAAAACCATGCTGAGAAAACCCATTGGGACAAAACTCAGCTATGGGAAAAAGAGTACAAACTTCTCACCTAAGTTACCTAGTCCTCATCACCGGGTGAAGTCTTCAGGTTAGATATGTTGAAGACTTGGATCCTTGGTAGGTTGAATGACCCGTCAGCTATGAATGCGTGTGCTTCCTTGGCCATCTCCTTAGCTCTTGAACGAGTGATCCTTCCCACCATCTCCGGTTTCTCTGTAGCCTCTTGCTCCGTGCTAGCCACGATCATATCACCGCCGCTGTCGGTGATGAAGAGAGGCAACAACGTCCTTAACCTAATGCTGCTCCTGGTACCCTATTATGGGCCGAGCCCAAACAAAGTCTGCCCCCCTTTCCACCCATTATCAAATCTACCAAAGCCCATGAAGACTGGCCAAACTCTTCTAAGGCCCAAATCTATTTTCTTTTTCATTTTGGCAAATCCCTGTTTAATGAAGTCAATACTGTTTAAGGTTGGTAGAAGACGCTTTCTTATCACAGTAACGATGAATTTAAATTGGATTCCCCATTATCTTTCACGAATCTTGGTTGATAGAGATGTCTGTGTGGTTCTCATTACGTTACCTGAACCCCCCTCTCCCAATATTTGCCAAGTTCCCCAGAGTTGTAAGAAGAACGGCATTATGATCTCGGCTCTATGGAGCGGTGATTACCGAAGCTTCATCAACTTTATATACCCGCTTCCTCTGAATATCAAGCTCAATCAAGTGAATTTCAATTGTTTTAGAGATATTTTCCAAACCTCTAAAAGCTGGACGAAGAACGGCATTATGATCTATCTTCCCATAGAAAAGGGGATTTAAAACATACTGCGGATTTTAAAATCCAAAAAAAAAATCACTAAACGAATAACATAGGATTTCAACTAGTATTTATAAATCATACAACCAATCACACATAATTTTGATAGTTATTTTAAAATCAATAATTGAATAACATAAGATTTTTGTTTGGATTTCCAAATCTATCAGAATCAATAATCCAATAAACCCCCCCCCCCCTAAAGCTCAGTGGTTGGGAAACCAACTTTTCCATGATTGGTCAATGATAATGAACTATGAATTTAACCAACGGGGTCGAATTTGGGTTATGTGGAGAGAGACGAGCAGGTTAACTCCTTTTTTCAAGAGCGACCAGTTAATTACTTGTTCGGTGCAGCTTCCAAGCAAGGAGAGAGAGTTCTTTTGCTCCTTCATATATGCTTTTAAATGTCCGGTGGAGAGATAGGAACTATGGCGTGACCTGTAAGATCATTATGACTCCCCCATTATCCAATCCAAACCTCGGATTATGTTTGGTGACTTTAATGTCACTCTAGACATGGTGGAGCACTCGCATGTCGAAATTACTTCTTATATCATTTCTGCTATGTGAGATTTTCATGAAGTGGTCAATGATTTTTCCATCTCGGATATGTGTTCTCATGGGCCCCTATATACTTGGTATAACAAACGAGAAGAGGATCTAATACTGAAAAAAATTGGACCGAGTTATGGTGAATGATAATTGGTTACGCGAGTTCCCTCAAGCTTATAATGTGTTTGATGCGGTGGTTTTTCAGGTCACTTACGGTGTCGTATTGCGATCAAAAGTGATGTTGGGAATGTGGTTAGGCAGAAAAAACCTTTCAAGTTTGTTAACATTCTCACGGAGATGGAGAAATTCATGCCTCTAGTAGACCGATTTTGGACAGAGACAGAATCTCTTTGTTTATCTACTTCCACATTTTTCTAGTTCTCCAAGAAGCTTAAAAGCTTGATACCTTTACTTCGTCGGTTGGCTAAGGAAAGACTGGGACATCTAGTTAAACGATCAAAGGAAGCTTTAGCTATTCTTTGTCAAAAGCAGGAAGCTAACTTGTCTAATCCCTCGGAGGTAGCAATGGTGTAGGAGAATGCTGCTTATCATTGTTGGGATTTTGTGGCTGGGCTGGAGGAAAAATTTCTCAAACAAACCTCTATCTAAGCTTCATTGGTTTCATGTAAGGGATAAAAAAACAAAATATTTCATAGAGAAGCTGCAGCAAGAATAGCAATGAAAATAACATAAAGGAGATACGTTGTCTTGATGGTAGAGTGGTTGAGACAGTGGAAGAGATTAAGAGAGTTTTTGCAATTTATTCCTCCTGATTTTGAAGGAGTAGGAGTTGATGAGCTCTAAGGGTTGCTAAATCAGGCTCTCGACGGATGATTTAATGCTTAAATGAAATAGGGACTTCTCCGGGACATGTGTGTGGGAGCTGAAATCCACGAACTGAAAACGGAGTGAACTTGAGTGGGCTCCGAATTCCCTATCTGAACTCGAAAATAGAATTGCGAATGATTGGGAGAAAAGTGCTTAATTTTATTTAGTATCTTTTTGCCAAAAACCGACCCCTTTACATTTTGTCTTCCCTACTACTTATACTACTCCGGCAAGCATTGAACGCCCAGCGAACTCCACTCCGCGAATCGCGCCATTCTCATTAAGGCGCCGTTTGACCCGCTGATAGTCCATTTCGATTCTCCTTTCAAACCCTCGGCTCCCACTGGACTCTGCCAAGCGGGCTGGGCAGCTCTGATAATGGGCCTTTGTCAACGGGCTTAAACGGAATGGGCCGTTAGCCCGGGACACCAATTCTGGTACCCACAGTAAACCCCCCCAAGTCTTCCGAAGTGGCTTAGTTTGGGAGACTTTAATGCTAAACAATTAAAGAAACTTCGATTCCTGAATCTGATATGATTGATTTGTTTTTACTCGAGGTTGCCTTTTCGGATAACCGTGCCCCGGTTTTGCCGCTTCGGAATCCCTAGGTTGCCGACTATAAAGGACGCGACCTTCTAGCTTCCCTAGGTAATCATTGGGTTGCAGCCGCCGAGACGCTATAAAGGTAGAGCCCCCCCTCCTTCGCTTTTCTTTTTAGTTTTTCTTCGCTCCTTCTATTTTTCTCTGTTTTTGCCCGACGTTTCTCCTCGCCGTATCTTCTACTCCTTCTACTCCGTCCCCCATACTCGACTCTTAGCTCAAGCATGTCGCCGCCAAAGCAAACTCTGAAAGCTGGAGATACTTCCCTCTCCGGTCAATTCGGCCTGCATCCCAAGTCGACAATAGCTGAGGAAGACTTAGTACACGTAAAGTTCCTCTGCGGCCTTACGTCGGAGACGGAGCTTATCGCTCCGGGGGATGATCTGTCACCGGAGGATCCTCCTCCCGAGTATTGCTGCGCCTACGAAATCTTTTTCTCCAAATGCGGCCTATATCTTCCGTTGCCAGAGCTCCTGGTAAAGGCAATGTTCGCACTCGGCATCACCCTCCCCCAAGTATGTCCGAACATTGTCCGGACTATTTTCTGCCTGCAGTCCTTAGCCGAAGAGCATGGCTACCTCATCACCTTACAGGACATCCTACACCTTTACACAATAAAGAGTGGTCGGACTAGAGGAACCTTCTATCTCAGCCCGCTGGCCGGGCTCCGAGTCTTTGACGACTTCCCCGACAAAGACGAGCAGTACCGAAGTGGCTATTTCTTCTTCCCGGTGAACCGGAATACCTTCGGTGATTTGCAGGAGCTGCTTGTCCCGCACTGGTCTCAGAAACCTGGTAGAACTGCGAGGAGATTCGAAAATTTCTTGTGATCATCTACCAGTTCGGGGTACTAACTCATTTTCTCTTCTCTTTTTTTTTAGCTTCCCTTGACCGCGGACCATTGTCTCAAACCTTCGCGGACTGTTTCATCACGTTCTGCGGTGCTGAAACTGCTTGGGACTCCTTCACCTGACCCAAGATCCGTGAGACCGGTGCCCGCATCCGTAATCGGTTTCTTACTATTTCTTCTCCTCAGTCCGCCCCTCCCAAGATGAACTACCGCGAAGAGAGGTCTCACAAGAAAAAGATAGAGCTGAAAGAGAAGGAACTAAAGAAGAAAATGGCTGCCGCACTAACGGACACCAGGGCCAAAGTTTCCTCGAAGGAGAAGTCTTCCAGTTTGGTCTCTCCCTCGGAGGGCACGGGCCGCGAGGTGATCACTCTTCCCGACAGCGACCTTAGTGCTAAATCTCCCGCTGCTCGCCCAGCTTCTGAAGAGGGCCACGCCAGCGGGTCAAAAAAGCAGAAAGCCGCGGAACCTGCACGTCCGGTACGTGCGAGCTCCAAGCCCCGAACTGAGGAGAAGCCCGTTGAGACCCCTGCCTCGAAGGGCTCCTTGCCCGCGGCCCCAAGTTCCGCCGACCCGAAAGTGAATCCGAGGCGTAAACTCCCGGGTAATCTACTTACTGATAGCTCACTTTTAATACGTGAGCAAACGCTTCATTTTTAGCTCTGCCAAAATCCCTGCCTGACATGATGCGGGGCTTCAGCCGTCAAGGAGCTCGGGTTCCTGCCTTCAAGGACATCTCCGTGAACAACCGGGAGGACTACTTCCGCTTTGCCGAGAAGGTCGGCGAGGTAAGCCTACTCCCCTTATAAATACCTTCCTCTCTTTGGTAGATGCTCTTTGAGTTTAACAGCTCGGTGGCCCACTACGAAGAGCAGCTTCTCGCCAGTCCCTCAGCCACCGAAATAGGGGTTTTGCAAGCTCTGATCTCTGACTTAGAGAAGGAGGTGAAGAAGCACAAGTCCCTGGAGGTCTCCAACCGGGCTAAGGTGGAAAAGGTGGCCAAGTTCAACAAGAAGCTCAGAACCGTCGAGCTTGATCTGCATATCGCCGAATCTTCCCTGGAGACTTGTCAAGACAAGCTAAAGCTGGCTGGGGAACTGTACCTCCAGGCGACCACCGCCGAGACAGAGGCGAAAAAGGAATTCCAGGAGATCAAACTCAGAAATCAGCTCCTCGAAGCAGGGAATGGCTCCGAGATGGAGAGGGTACGAAGAGAGGAGCGGAAGAAGATGCGAGCCAACCTTTGAGACACGATCGACAAGATCGGGTCGCATCTCGAGGAGCATGACCGCTTAATCCCCAACACAATCCGAGCTGCTGAGATCACCGCCAACCGGATGTTGGTAGGAGAGATCGAGAAGGGCGAGATTGCCAACCTGAAGGAGGAGCTCGAAACCTTAAAAGCTGACGAGAAGGCTGCTCGCCTTGAGGCTGAAAAGGTAAAGGACTTAACGTTTGACCCTGCATCGTATAATGCTCTATTGGCAAATACTCCCCCCGAATTCGTGCTTGACCCCGCTCCTGCTCCCCTTATGATCGAGAAGCCTACTTCTGACCCCCCTGTTGTACCGAACCAGGAACTGGAGGCAATCCAGCCGGGCTTGAGCAAGGAGGTAAATGCTTTTATGAACCCCGGGGGTGATGAAGCTCTTGTGGGCGAGGCGACTGGCACTCCTTTGGCCTGCTCCGAAGACCCTGCCGTGGACTCCGGACTTACTTAACTTCCTTTTCGGGTTTGTATTGGTCTTAGACCCCCCCTTTTGTTTATTGCTATTATTACTTTTACTTTCGGTTGTTTTTATATTTTTTATTTTACGAACTTCTTGAGACTTATGCTCGAGTGTTTTTGACCACGGAGGTCGCACTCTTTTAATTGCTTTAAACTTTACTAAGCTTGCTTTATATCGTTTTAAGATGTGGAAACGCTTTATTACCACTCTTCTTAAAAAGAACTTATACTATTAGCTGAACTCGACAAACCGAGCTGCCTACGTACCCAAAAGGGGATCAAGCACAGCGTAGTTCAATTACAAGTGTTTATTACTATATATTCTTTCTAAAAGGTGTAGAATCGCTTAAGATTGAAGGCATTCCACGACCTGAGGACCTTCTTTCCGGACAGTTCCTCCAGGCGGTAAACCCCGTTACGCACCTCGGCGATAACTCTGTAAGGGCCTTCCCAATTCACGCCAAGTTTTCCGGCGTTAAGCTCTCTTGTATTTTCGTAAACTTTTCTTAGCACGAGATCACCCACGTTAAGATCGCGACCCCTTACTCTTGAGTTGTAATACTTCGCGATCGTGCTCTGATAATAATGCAAACGAACTAAAGCCCGATCGCGTTTCTCCTCGATGAAATCGAGGGCATCCCGAAGAGACTCTTCGTTCTCTTCGGGCATTGTGGGGTTCATGGTTACCCGGACTCCTGGTACAGCGAGGTCTGCCGGGACTACTGCCTCCGTCCCATACACTAGCGAAAAAGGGGTTTCATGTGTTGCCCGCCGAGGCGTGGTTCGGATTGCCCATAATACGCATTGTAGTTCCTCGGTCCACCGACCCTAATATGAATCCAGCCGCTTCTTTAGGTTAGCCAATATTACTTTATTCATTGCTTCGGCCTGGCCGTTCCCCAACGGGTAGCAGGGTGTGGACTTGCTCAACCGAATCTTCCAGTGGGCGCAAAAAGCTTCGAACTGCCTTGATACGAACTGCGACCCATTATCCGTTACTATCTCGTACGGAAGTCCGTGATGGCAAATCACATCCTTCCATACGAACTGCTGGACCTGAGAACTCGTTACAGCGGAATACGCAGCCGCCTCTACCTATTTGGAAAAGTAATCGGTGAGGACCAGTAGGAATCTCACCCCCCCTTGTTGATTTATGCAAAGGCCCTATTATGTCCATTGACCACCTCATGAACGGGTAGGGAGCTGAGATGAGTTCCGAGGGATGATGAATAGTGGGGGCGTGCCTTTGGCACTTCTCGCAATTTCTTACAAACTCTTCACAGTCCTGCATGATCCCCATTGGGTCCATCATGGACTGACCGCATCACTATCCCCGGCGACTTACCAGCGATGCAAGTTAAATAAGGACCTCCGACACTGCGACGGAGCAGGCCCTCGGAGTGTAGGCAGAATAGGGCCGATACGGTTCTAATCTTCCGAGCTTGCCGCTTATCCTGGGGAAGCTCACCTTCCTTTAGGTAAGTTAGGATGGGGGCTCTCCAGTCCGCTTATTGGTCCTCCTCTGGGAGCTCCGAGAAGTCCTCTGGCCTTTCATCCCTAGGCTCCTCACCGCGGGGGAATTGGGCTGCTGGAGTCCCAGCCGATGCTTCGGAGTTCTCCTCACTTGTGGGAACATGGAGATCTTCCGGCACCGAAGCGTTCCCTCGAGGTCAGACAGCCTTGGTGGGGACGACGGGTAGCTCATGCACTATTTCCCCTCTATCAAGCCGACGCTGCATTGACCTCGTAAGGATGTTCACCTCGCTCAGGCAAACGCTAGGGCGCTCCAGGACCTCCACCGGGATAATCCGTGTGAATGCGGGATCCGAGGTCGAGGTAAAGGACGCCAACGAGTCAGCAGCCGAGTATAGCTAGCAGTGCTTCGTACTCAGCTTCGTTATTCGAGGCGTCGAATGCTAATCTAAATGACTGCTCAATCACCTCATTAGTGGGTGCGCGAAGCCTTACTCCGATACCGCTGCCGTGTTGGGACGAGGCCCCGTCGAAATGTAGTGTCCACGGACCTTTCTCTTCGCTTTTTGTACTGGCAATCGGTAGTTCGATTAGGAATTCGGCGAGCACCTGTGATTTGGCGGCAGTTCGGGCTCGGAACTCTAGGTCATACTTGCTAAGCTCGATTGCCCATTTTTCCATCCGCCCTGACTGGCTCGGACTGTGAAGAATAGTTCGCAATGGCTGCGAGGTTAGAATCACAATCGTGTGAGACTGAAAGTATGGTCGAAGCTTCCTAGCCGAGGTGACCACAGCCAAAGCTAACTTCTACATCATAAGGTAGCGAACTTCACCTCCTATGAAGGTTTTACTTATGTAGAACACCGTTCTCTGTTCTCCCCTTTCTTCCTTTACTAATACCCCGCTCACGGCGTATTCAGATACTACGACGTATAGAAACAGGGGTTCCCCGAGCTCGGGCATGGCGAGAGCAGGAGGGTTAGACAGATATTGCTTGAGCTGCCCGAATGCTCCTTCACACTGCTCGTCCCACCGAAAATTCTTGTTGCCTTTGCGAAGGAGTTCGAATAAAGGTAAGCACTTATTTGTGGACCTCGAGATGAATCTGTTTAGAGCCGCAATCCTCCCATTCAAGTGCTGAACTTCACGGAGGTTCCGTGGTGAAGTCATTGACAGAAAGGCATTTATCTGCTTAGGATTCGCCTCGATCCCCCTTTCGGTCACAATATAACCTAGGAACTCTCCCGAGGGGACCGCAAATGTGCATTTGGTTGGGTTCAACTTTATGCCGAATTTGTTGAGGATTGCAAAACAATCCTCGAGATGCCCGACGTGCTGGTTGGACTCCATCGACTTCACCAATAAGTCGTCAATGTACACTTCCATATTTTTTCCCAACAGCTCGGCGAACATCCTGTTCACCAACCGTTGGTAGGTAGCTCCAGCATTTTTTAACCCGAACGGCATCACTTTGTAGCAAAAGGTCCCTCGATCCGTTATAAAAGATGTCTTCTCTTGGTCGTCGGGATGCATCATGAATTGGTTGTATCCCGAAAAAGCATCCATAAACGTTAACAGCTCGTGCCCCGAAGTGGACTCCACCAACCGGTCGATATGCGGGAGGGGGAAACTATCCTTTGGGCAAGCTTTGTTTAGGTTGGTGAAATTAACACAGACCCGTGACTTGCCATTCTTCTTCTTGACTACCACCGTATTCGCCAACCATTCCGGGTACTGGACTTCCCAGATAAGGCCGGCCTCGAGCAGGCGGTCCACTTTGGCATTCACCACTTCAGCCCGCTCCTTTCCCAACTTTCTACGCTTCTGCCGAACTGGCTTGAAAGTGGGGTTGACATTGAGTTTGTGAGATATCACGTCGGTGCTGATACCAACCATTTCCTTAACCTCCCACGCAAAGGTTGACTTATTCCTTCGTAGGAAGCTAACCAATTCTTCCTTAACTTTTGGGGACAAGCCCGCCCCAATTTTTACTTTCTGCTCGGAGAACAACTCATTGAGCTGGATCTCTTCGTAAAAGTCGCCGTTCATCCTACACTTCATCGGGTTCTTGGCGATCTCGAGCTGTGGTTGCTATTGGATCAAGAACTTATGCCCGGCCAGATAGCAACTCCTGGCCATACACTGGCTGCCCAGTATCTCACGGACTCCGTTACGCGTTGTAAATTTGACGTACTGGTGGTAGGCAGACGGGACCGCCTTCATCTGATACAACCACGGAGTCCCTAAAATAGCGTTATAGGCCGCCGGTCGGTCGAAGACGGTGAATTCCACCATCTTGGATACTCCCTACACAGCGACCGGAAGGGTTATCGTTCCCAGGGACATCGAGGTTTCGCTGGTGAACGATACTAAGGAAGCCGGAGGTCCGATGATGTGACTCATGTCTATGCCCATCCTTGCAAGAGTATCCAGAAAAATTAGATCCACCGAACTCCTCGTGTCAACCAGAATCCTACACACTTCGTGGTTTGCTACATCTAAAATAATGACCAGCGCGTCGTCGTGAGTGGAGTCGAGGCTCTCTTTCTCTTCTTCCGAGAAAGTTATCTCGGGGTAGACTTCGCACGTCTTTTGCCTCTTTGGGGCCGATTCGTTTAATTTCCTCTGATGGTCTTTAATGGCCCTGATAGAATTTTGGAATATCCTGGACCCGCCCATAATAACGTCGATACGCTTCTTCGTTCCCTGAGGGATCTCTTCAATAAGTGCCTTTGGTTTTTTGGCCAGGGGGAGTTCCTCCTCCTCGGGAACTGCCTCAGCTACGAGCTGAACTGCATTATGTGCCTGATCGAGCTCGTCAATTGTTATATCCGGCATTCCTCTGTTCATGAACCTTTCGGCGAGTAAATGCATGAGTTTTTTGCAGTTCCGGGTAGCATGTCCAGCCACCTTGTGGAGTTCGCAGAAAAAATCATCTTCCTGCTCCTTCCGGGTCCACTTATTGCTGGGTAAGCCCCTGTTTCTGCCTCGTGGTCCGAATCCTTGATGCGCATTGTCGAGATTCTAGGTGAGAAATGAGTCCGCTTCGACTTTTCGATAACTCGATCGATATCCGGGGAAGAGCTCGTCGCATGATGGACCTTTGATTGCATGGCCCGGATCTCATTCTGGAAGAATGATATTTCTGGATTGGGCACGGCCACCGCCCTGTGCTGGGTCGGAGTGCGGATGTGACCAGGCGTGGAGTTCCTACTCACGGGAGGAGGAGTTTCCCGGCCGGGGTCCGGAATGGCCGTCCCTTGCGGAGGTGCCAATGCCGACAAACCAGCCTCTCTTGGCTGGTTTTCTGCCGAGTTCGCTGCGACTAAGGGGGATGGACGCCCGCTCCCCTGGGACGTCGCCGGTAACGCCCCACCAAAATCGAGCATGCGGGACCTGCGGAGCGTGGTGCTGACGGATGTCCCCTCCACAAGCGCGTCCACTTGGGCTGCGTAAGCGTTGTGGACGTTGGACAGCTCGGAGACGGTCTCGGACAAGGCGGCCACCTGAGCGGTAGAC